CGCCTGGTGGACGTCGGCGGCGCTGGGACGCTGTCCCACAGCTACCGGTATGAGGTCTGTCTCACTGGAGACGCTCATAATAATGAGTTCCAATTCTTGAAGCCTATTTTCCCCAATATTCTGGACCAAGATTCTGGGAGAAAGTCAGATGGTAACTCAGCTTTTCAGAATAATTTAGGTATCTGAATCTCCTTACTCGGTGTATTAATTTTGTCTGCTTTGCTCTTCACTTTCTTGTTTTATCTTTGCAGTCATCCCTCATTTTTCCTTTTATTCACTTTTATTAATGTTTTTTTTTTGGTCTGTTGTATATTATTTCTATTAGTGTTTTCTATTGGGAAATTTCATGTTACTAATTAAATTTTTAGTGTTAATTTCCTGAAGAAAGCTAACCTCGTCTAATAAACATAATTCTAATTTAAATATATTTCTCAGAGTGTGAAACTACATAAAGTGTAAGATTGCTCTTTTGTTATACTTTATTTTAAAACGTTAGAAAGCTTTAGTTTTTCAATAACCCTGTTTCTTTTTGAGGTGTAATCACTTCATATTCATTAATTGTCGAGTTTCTTTCAAGATCTCTTGGAGCATTTTTATTTTCGATTTTCTTTAAGCAACAACATGAATAATTTCAAACTATTTCAATGTCAAATTTGTAAACAATCTTGCACTGTAAAATATAGGCTGTCCCATGAAAATGTATTTGCATCAACTATTATTTGTCATCTGATTGATGTAGAAAAATTTGCGGCTCTTCCTTGTCTCCAGTTGAAGTTGTGGTACTGATAAAGTGCTTGAGAAGTGCTTTACTAATATAGAGATTGACCCATATTTAAGAAGTTCCTATAAGGTCAGTTGATTCTATGAGGCCTATATGACCAAGTAGTTCATTGTTTTCCTTTCTAATTGTCCCTTGCTATTGAAGGGAAATTCTCAAGTGAGCTCAAAATTCTGTAATTACAAGAGCTTCTGATTTTACAGCATGCTAATATTTACTTACTTTTGAATGCTTATATTTTTGTTTGATAAAGAATCAAAAATACATTGTGTAGCTAACATACATGCTCCTCCTGGAAGTTAGCCAAATGAAATTTATTAAAGGATATGTTGGTGAAGGAGTTGAATGATTTGGAGAAAGTATTTTGAGGAATAATGCCTGCTCCCAAAGATGTGCACATTCTAATTTCTGGAACTTCTAAATATATTATATGACATTACAAAGATAAATTAAACTGTAAATGGAGTTTAGATTGCTAATCAACTCATTTAATGTTATCATAGATAATCGGGTGGCCTGGTTCAAAAAGTTGAAAGATGTTAAAGGCACAATTGAGTCTTCCCTAAGATGAAATTCTGCTTGTTCCTCATTGTTCCAACCTGCCTTTCCTTACTCTCTGCCATACAGGTGTTGGATTTGTCCATCCAACTTCCACAATTGGATGTCACTTCCATAATAATAATACATATATTAAGCTGGGCATGGTGGCACACGCCTGTAATCCCAGCACTTGGCAGGCTGAGGCAGGAGGATCGCTGTGAGTTCGAGACTAGCTTGGGCTGCATAGTGAGTTCCAGGTCAGTCTCAACTACATAGTAAGACCCTGTCTCAAAAAAACCAAAAAAAAAAAACCCCAAAACTAACTAAATAAATATCTTAGTATATATCTTCTTTTTCAGTTTCTCTGGTTGCATCCTGACTGATGCAGATTTTGGTAGCAGGGGTGCCACTGTAACAAATACCTAAAAATGTAGAAGTGAATTTTTATAGAGGTAGTAGTCAGGGGCTGGAGGAATTTAGAAAAGTGTGATAGAAAAACCTATATTGCTTTGGACAGACTATTAGAAATGTGGTGTTCACAACTCTGCTAGTGAGGATTCAGCAGGAAGTAGAGTATGGTAAACATAAATCCTTATAGAATAGATAAATCATTTAAAGCATACTTTGGGAAGAAATATAGTTGTTAATGTTAATGCTAATGAGGGCTCAGAAATGAGGAAAGTGGTATTGGAAAGCAGAGGAAAATGAATACTTTTATATAGTGGCCCAAAATTTAGGTACTTTTACGTGGAAAGAGGGATTGGTATTCCTAATCTATTTAGGGAGAGAATTAGATCTTTTATCCCAAAGGAGCATTCAGTGAGAGTTCACTTTGGTTGCAGTTAATGCAGATTTTACTGTGATAAAGGACTGACTGGAATACTCCATGTTAGAACTTGAATCTTTTGGGAAATGAAACAAAGAATAATCATGATATTGTCCCAATTGCTGGATCGGTAACCTGAAAATTACTGCAGAATTTTACCAGAGGCTATAGGTATCTTCTGTGTCATGTGCTGTCCTCAATTGTGAGTAAGCAAGTCAAGAAGTAGAGATATTTAAATGATTGGAATTGTACAACTTTGTAGTTCTAGAAACACTCAATATTCTTTAGACATTACATTTGATTTGAAATAAAAAAATGCAAAATCTCTTGATTAAATTCTGTCTCTTTCTGATTGGAAATTCTTTTTAATTTGGCAGTAGTTAAAAAGCTGACATTTTCCAGGATATCAGTCATCGCTAATTTTGCCAGACCCACAGAAAAAAGGTTAAAGATAGTCTTGAGTACTATTTTTGGGGTTTTGTTTTTGTTTTTGTTTTTTGTTTTTGTACTAGGGATGAAACTTGGGACCTTGCGCTTTTGAGGCAGGGGCTGCACCACTGAGCTAAATCCCTGGATCTTGAGTACTATTTCTTGAAGGAACTGTTTAAACTCAACTAGCGTCTCCCCAAATATTACTCCTGAAATTGTTACTACATTTCAAATTTCAGAATCACGTATAAAACCATATGCTCTTCTGCATATCTAATTGTGTTTTAAACACATACTTTTATAAATTCATACTTCATGGCTAAAAACTGTGGTGACCAGAAAGATCTCTGTTAGTCTAAATTATAGTGGTTATAATCAACAGAAACTCAATTCAAACTAGACCAAGGAGGAGCAGAGAAAAAACTTATTCAGAGGATAACAGGATACTTTAAGGTGTATTTGAAAATCAAAGCTGATTAAAGAGTAAGGCCTTAAAAGCTATTAGAAACAAGGACTTGAAAAAACATGATCTCTATGCCATCTTTTCTTTTCTGTACTTCTACCTGGCAGTTTCATTCTCTTTGAAAGCCAGCTTTCCATATATGGGGGAAAAATAGCTTCCTAAAATCAAAAGCCTTTACATTTTTTTTCTTTTTAGCACTGGGGATTAAATGACTTATATGAGAGTTGTGATGGATAAATATAGTAGATGTTTAATATTTTTAAATTTTTAGAATAAAAAGCACTGCTGTTAATTCCTACAAAACAAAATTCCCCCTCCCTTCAAAAACAGCTCATTATTTTTACTACTTTCTGAAGCAGTCCTAGAAGTCCTATTTTGTGAGCCTCTTTAGTTCCACTGTCCTGGATGCCTCAGTGTCCTGAATTGTTTTGAAACATGGTCATTTTTACTTAGGGGTAGGGTCAGAAGTTGCACAGTGCCAGACTGTGGGAATAAAGTGGATGAAGACACACCAAAATATTTTTATAAGCCTGTCTTTTCATTGGATGACCACTCAGCAGCAGCATTCACTATATTTTTTATCATTACTCATAAAGGTTCTCACAAAAGATTTCTGTAACTGCTTGAAGAAGTGACAAGAATGGGATAAGTGTGTTTGACGCAAAGGGAAATATTTTGAGGAGGATTCATGGCCATATGTCTAATAATTTGATGTTAAAATGTTCACTATATATTTTACTCATACCTTATATGTTAGACATGTGTTCTACCACAAAGCTAAATCTCCAATTTTGATTTCATTTCATTTCATTTATTTTGAGGCAGTGTGTCACTAAGTTGGCCAGGTTTGCCTTGAACTTGGAAGTCCTACCTTAGCATCCCAAGTAGCCAGGGTTACAGGCATATACCTTGCTTTAAGCATGCCCTGCTCAAAAGTTCTTTTTCAGAACTATAAATTGACTTATGTCTAGCTCAAACTTGGTGGGCTTGTAGAAAGTTGGGGCTAGGATGTAGGTGTATGTGCATGTGTGTGTGTGTTTAATTTGACTGCTCCCACTTTTTCACAAATACCATGAGGGTATGAGATATATGATCTCCCCAGAATACAGGGAGGAAAACAAATGTCTACAGATGTCATTATCACCAACACTAGGGATTTGAGGGCAAGGGAACCAGTTTTCCTTCATAGTTCTTTTGTGCAGTGTGTGTGTGTGTGTGTGTGTGTGTGTGTGTGTAATCACAAACCTTACAGAACTTGCCTTTTACTATTAGGTAAGCCATATTAGCTCAGTTCTTCTCGACAGCCAGGTATTTGTTAAATGCTGCTACATAACAATGGTAACTCAACATTGATGCTGAATTTCTGAGACTGGAGCTTATAAAAGGAAGTGATGGGTACAGAGGCCAGAGTAGACTATCTGGAGTGGTGGTCATTGCTGTTGCTTCCTTATATAATGAGAAATAAGAACAATAAGACCTGTAATATCTATTTCCTCTGCATAATCACCCTTACAACATTCATTTTATCCAACACACTTGCTACTAGCATGTATGAGTCAAATAGTTTTAGAACTCCACAGCTGCTCCCACTTAGGGTGTTTGTACATTTGTGTGTGTCCCATTATATGTGAATGAATGTGTGTGTGTGTGTGTGTGTGTGTGTAAGTAGCAAAATAGATGGTGAAGATATACTGCATGAAGAAATGTTTACCAGAGTAAATATTTTGCATATGTTTTCCAAATTAAAATGCCTGTTTAGTTTAATGCATGAATGTATGTAATAATGCTGTCATCCCAATATAGTATATATAGAAGGTTATATTTGCAAACTAAGGGAGTTTTCTACAGTATTCTTGGATTTAATAACTACCAATAGTATTGGATCGAGAATTTTTGTTACTCTTTGGACTTCAAGGAGCAGCATAGTAAAGAGAACTGTAAAGGAGACATGGTCAACTTTTTCTCATCAAAAACAGGAAGAAAAAAGTTGGCAATACTCAACATAGTTGGGATTGGGGTGAGATCATTGAAGCCAATATACATAAGGGTAGCATGGTTTCTCTCATTATTTTGAAATTTTATGTTTAGTTTTTCATGGACTTTTGCATTAAATTTCATTTTTAAAGAATATTGCATTAAATAGATTTCTCTTTACTACAAAGTTTTTGAGTAATCCCTTAAAATTTGCATCTGAGACACTTGCCTCAACCTTGTCCTGGTTATTGGTTATTATCTACTTGCAACCTC